AGGCAGGGGTCGGCGCCGCCGCCTGGCGCCCTCGGGCGCGCCCTGGCGCGGCGAATCGCAATCGCAAAGAAGGAAAACGCAGCGCAAAAGGCAGAGGTCGGCGCCGCCGCCTGGGGTCCTCTAGCGCGCCCTGGCGCGGCCTGTCGCAATCGCAAATGAGCAAAACGCGCGAGAAAATACAGACGTCGGCGCCGCCGCCCGGCGCCCTCGGGCGCGCCCTGGCGCGGCCAACCGCAATCGCAAATAAGCAAAACGCAGCGCAAAAGGCAGAGGTCGGCGCCGCCGCTTGGGGTCCTCTGGCGCGCCCTGGCGCGGCCTGTCGCAATCGCAAATAAGCAAAACACGCGATAAAGGCAGAGGTTGGCGCCGCCGCCTGGCGTCCTCGGGCGCGCCCTGGCGCGGCCAATCGCAAGCGCAAATAAGCAAAACACTACGCCTGGCAGAGGTCGGCGCCACCGCCTGGCTTCTCGGGCGCAATGGCACATGACCAAAAATACAACGGACGTGCCGCGGCATTGAGAGCGCCGCTTTTAAGAAACTGCCCCGGAATTTAGCCCCACTTTCTTATGTATTTCGCTTCCCGACTCAGCCTCAAAATTTCTTATCTCATGGTTTTCTTAATATTGACCTGGGGTGTATGCACGCAGGAATTATGGTGTACACCAGCGGTGCGTTGCACGCGGATATGCTGTGGTATAGAAACGCGATGTGGCGTGCACAGGCGTTGCGGTGCACGCAAGCATTGTGTTGTACACAGGCGCTGGGTTGCACATGGTTGCTGTTGTGTACACATGTACACCGGCGCTGTAGTGTACGCGAGCACTGTGGTGTACAGAGGCGCTGCATTGCACACGGTTGTTGCGGCGTACGCAGGCGCTGTGGTATACACGCGCGCTGTGGTGGACGTGAGCGTTGTGGTGCACACAGGCGCAATGGGGCATATCGCCAGCTACGTGCTGCTCGCGTCGTCGTCATCGTCGTCGTCCTCGTCCTCGTCGCTCGTCGCTCGTCGCTCGTCGCGTCGTGCGCGCGGGCGCGGCTGCGGTGCCCGAGCCACACGGCGGGGGGGGGGCTACGTCATACCCCCCTCTCGCCCCCCCCTCCCCCATGACGCCCGTCATCGCCGAACATAAAGAAACGCGTTCCAGGGATTGTTTTTTAACGCGCGCCCCCCCACGGATTTGTTAATCACCCTTTGGAAACGGGATTCTCGTCTCGCTCATCGTGGCCAGGCTTCGTATACGTTCAGTCGTCGCCACGTGGAGGTCGACGCAGTGGCCCAGAAGACAAGTCTTGTGGAGCTAGTATATATATATATATATGTATATATATATATATGCTTTTCACGAATGAGCTAAATTCGAGCTTCATGATTGGATTTCTCTTTCGTTATATCGCGTGTCCTTGCTTCTGCCCATGCTCCTGTTCCCCCGCGTCATAGGCGATTGCGCCAACTTCATCGGACAGGCGTCGCATGCCGGCAGGTTCATCTTCGCCATCAGTTCTGGAATCATCCAAAGGCTCCTGGCTTCAGGAACGTTGGACTCCTTTGCGTCGCATCCCTTCCCCCGCCATTTTCTGGATCGTGGTCACCCCAGGCCGCAGGGAGGTGAAAGCGCGCGCGGATGATGTCGGAGCCTTTTCGTCCCAGATCATTGTTTTGTGTTTGCTCGCCACTGTTTTCCGCGCTGCGCGGCGTGTGGCCACTCTTTCGCCTAAGATATAAAAGTGCAGTCTGGTGCCGCTCTCTGCGGAATGCGCGCCGGCCGCGAGTGATGAGATCCGAGCCTTGCTTCAAGCGGAGCTGGTTGAGCGGGGCGAGCTTCGCGTGTGCTTCGGTCCTTCGTCGATGGACGAGTCGCGGGCCACCCTCTCGTCAAACGCTACGAAAAGACCTCTCTGTTGGGCACGCCGAGAGGCCCGCGGGCGGTCGCTGCACTTGTCTACAACAGTCGAGCAGCGACGTTGCTCTGTTACACTTCACAGCAGTATCTCCTCCCATTTCTCTTCGCTCGCGTCGAGCATGCGCGTCGTTCCCCTGCCCCCTCTATCCCGCGCTGCTCGCTCGCCCGCGGGGGCAGCTTTAACCTTGACCCGTGGGGGGGGGCGGTGCTGCTCGCGAGTTGTTCGGTCGCCAACCTCGCCTCCCTCGTGATTTGCGCGCTGCGAACGTTCAGAGAATCGCCATGTGTGCACCGCCAAGTGTACGACGTTGCTCTGGGGTGGTTCCCACTCGTGACGGTTCGCGCTGGCCAGCTGGCACCGGACTTCTGGGGGCCCCCGCCGCTGGCCGCCACCTCGAGGAAAACCGCGCGAGGATTTCGGCCCACCCCCGCCGGGCCCCCTGGCGCCCGAGACGCGCTGGAAGAGGGCGTTAAGATATTGAACGACCCTCGGCCCAAGCTCCGACGTGTCCTTGCGAGAGAGCTGAAGGCTCGCATTCCCCAGCCAAAGCAGCACTGAATAGTTTCCGAGGGGCCGTGGGGGTTTCGCTTCGGTTGACTGGCCTGCCGTGCAGGTTGCCGTCCGTGCGTTCCCTGGGACCTGGTCCACGGCCCGGATCAACGTCCTCTCGGGCGGCTGGACGATTGGCGCGCGATTTCAGGATCATGGATGCAGGTGCATGCTCGGATGTAAGGCGCCAGAGAGGACTGCCCACTATCTCTCTTGGCCTGTGTTCCTCGATCTGCTCTCCTACGCGCGTGGTTGTGACCTCCCCTCGCGCGTGTTCTCCCGCCTCGGCTCCTCGACCCGTCCAGCGAGCTGCCGCGGGTTCCTGCCGTCGCTTTCACTCTTCGCTGCCGCCTTAGATCTATCCCCCACTTCCCATTGCAGGGAAGGGGGCGTCGGAAGTTAGTGCCACAGGTCAGGGCGGCCCACGAGCGGCTCGTGCCTCTTGATGCTCAGCCTGAGCCTGCCGCGCCTCAAGTACGCGCCACGAGGAGGAGAAGGAGGAGGAGGAGAAGGAGGACGGGGAGAAGGAGGAGGAGGAGGGGGACCAGTGTAAACCCAAGACCCAATGACGATGCGGGAATGTACCCCTTCCAAGCTCTTTTTTTGTAATACGGCCTTACTGGGAAGGGCTCCTTACCATGGAGGGGAGGCCCCGTTGGGAGACAACCGTTTGAAGATCCCGAACAGCGCCGAAACACCATTCTCGGAACTCCATCGCTACGAATCAACTTGCCTGTTTCGCCCTGACGATCCTGAATCGCGCCATAACACCAGTCCTGGGACTTCAACGCCGCGAATGAGCGTAACTCTTGCGCCCTGGCAGTCCTGGACAATTGGATCGTTGACAATTGGAGCCCGTGGAACTCTTTTTTTACAAAAAAAGAGTGTCCGCGGCGACGAGTGTGCGCGGCGCTAAGGCGAGAGCCACAGTTTGAAAACCTCTCCCCTTCCATCCGTTAATCTCTTGTAATGTTTGAGACGAGTGTGCGCGGCGCTAGGGCGAGAGCCACATTTGAAGCCAGAGCAACATTTTGAAAATCACCCGCCTCCATCTGCGAAATTGTTTCCAATTTTCAAGCTTCGGGGTCGTGCGTGGCGGCAAAGTTTCAGGCGAAACGTCCGGCTTGCCCTTTCAACCAGCCTCTGGGTGCGACAGGGAAGTGTTGTCTACAAGGGAAAGGAATGGATGGGGGAGAAGGGAGGAGAAGGAGGAGGAGGAGGAAGAGGAGGAGGAGGAGGAGGAGGACGCGCCTCCCACATACGTTTTTCAGAGACGCCCGTGAGACGCTTGTACGACGCCTTTTCGGAGACGCCTCTCAGAGACGCCCGGACGCCTCTCAGAGACGCCTTCAAAAACGCCCGTAAGACGCCTCTCAGAGACGCCTGTAAAACGCTGCTCAGAGACGCTCGTACGAGACGCCCGTGAGACGCCTCAGAGACGCCCGTACGACGCCTCTAAGACGCCTGTGGGGCTTCTCATGGAGGTTAGTTCGAATTCGCACTAAAGTGGTTGCAAGTACAGTGGTTTGACATAGTACCAAGGAGGTTGGAATTTGTTCTATTTAGTTGAACGTTGTCCCATTCCCGGTTCGGGTGGGGGTGGGCGGGGGGGGGCCCCTTTTGTTTCTGACCCTCCTTTTTCGATGTTTTTTTTCCCGGGAGGGTGGGGGGGTCCCCTGGAGACAATTTTCTGGCCAGCGACGGTGAATAGCGCTTCCTCGTCTTCCAGCACTCTGCGCCGTCTCGAGGTCATTCGAGTTCCCTTTGGGCGCTCTTGGGGCTGCAAGGGTTTTGGGAGCCCGCGCCCAGGAGTTCGGTCATTTTTGGGGGAACGTTGCGAGGGCACGTTTCCTCCGGGGACCCCCCGGATCCGCCGCGCACGCCGCGTTACCAAGTATTCCAGCACGCCTTTGGCCCGCTGGGCTGGCGAGTACGGGTTTATTTCGCGCACCCCCCATGGCCTATTTCACCTCAGCAAGCTCATCTCGCGCACTTCGAATCGCATTGCAAAGGCCTTGCGGCTGCTTCCACAAACCCTGAGAAGAGATCGGCTGGGGCTCAAGAGGCCGAAGGGGATGGAGACAAGGGACTTTTTTTGATACGGGGGCGAAAATGTATCGGTTTTCGGCCCACGTTGCCGCTGCACTTGGGTCGTGTTCCAGAGGCGTTGGGGACATGTTAGTAGCTTTTGGGAGCTTCTTGGGGAGTTCCTGGGGGCCTCTGTGGCCCACTTAGGTACGTTTTGTGGCGTCTTGGGGCCTCGTTGGTGCCTATCAGGGGTATTTGGGGGATCTTGGCATCATGCTGGAGGAGCGCGGCGGTATCGAGTTTTCTGGGCCCCTCTTGGGAGCCTCTTGGCTTGTCTTGTCCGGGCCTTGGGGTCTTCGCACTTCAACCGATTCGGCGAGAGTGTTCACGTCTTACGCGACGGTGGGATTCAGCCAGCTCGGGCGGCCAGGGCGGCCCCCTCGGGCGTCTGGGCGTTTTTGGCATGTATGCGCCGCTGCCCCCTCCCCCATGATCCTCGATCTTCGACCCTCCTGGAGGTGGAGGCTGGGGCGCGTGCGGCAGCGACACCTGGGGCGGCAGCAGCTGGAGCGGCAGCAGCAAGTGGGCGGCCCCGTTCCGCGGAGTGCCCGAGTTCGCAGTGAACCCGTGGCAGAAGCACGAGGACTGTCCCCCTCCTCCCCTCCTCCCTCCTCCCTCCTCCTCCCTTGTCCCTCCTTCCCTCCTCTCCCTCTCTCTATCCGTCTCCCTTTCTCCTTCTCTCTCTTTCTCTTTCTCTCTCTCTCTCTCTCTCTATATATATATATATATGTTTTGTGTTCTCTTTATTTCTCTCTTGTTTGAATTTGTTTCTCTCTCTCTCTCTATGTTTTGTGTTGTTTTCTCTCTTTTTGTCGTCTCTCTCTCTCTCTTTCTGTATGTGTGTATCAGTATGTGTGTGTATGTGTATGTGTATCGCCCTTTGTCGAGCACTGCACTTTGCTCGGCTTCGCTGAGCCTTTGACTCTGACAGGAGTTACAGGTTTGCGGACGGATGACCCGCGCGGATTACTAACGTAAAGTGCGGGCCCGCGGCCCCATAGGGATGGGGTTCCTGCCTGAGATTTCCTCGCAATTCACTCGCAGACGACGTTCCCGCTTGATATTTCCTCCATGTTCAGGCATGGGGACCCCCAGCGGTGACGACGGTTACAGGTTTGTGGATGACCCGCTAGGATTGCCTGTGGAAACCATCCTGGTTTTACTGTTTACAGGTTTTGCATGGTGTAGGACCGTGCAAGGGGATCCAGGGGAGAGGCCCATGTGCAACGTCATCCGTTTTCGCATTGTTGGCTCAAGGCCTAAGAAACATCTACCGCTGCTCCTGCTGCCACAGTTGGTAGCGGAGCGGTGTCAAGCACCCAGTTGGGTTTACTCCAGGCGCGCCATGTGTGCCGGCGTGGTGGAGCGAGCGCTCAATAGCCTGGGGCCGCGCACCGCTCTGGAAAGCCGACGCGCGTGGGATCCACGGAGATGACGGCGAACGAGGATGCGTTCGCAGTGCTGCCAGGGGCAGCCAGACAGCCGGCCGCAGTGACCGGCGCAGCAGCAGCAGCAGCAGCAGCAAAGGGAGCCGAGCATTCAGCCGGGTCAGGAGCTGGAGCAGACGGGATGAAGGACCTTCTCAAATTAGTATTTCGAGAAGTACTAGCCGACATGACCTCAACTGCTTCGGACGTTCTCGGCCCAGCTGACGCTGATCCCTGGACACTAGACGATCCTTGGAAAAAAGGGTCGCTCCGACGGCAGCTGGTGGAATAACGACTGCAGGCCCCAGGAGTGGTACGACGAGAAGTGGAGGGCCGATGATTGGGACGACCAGCTGACGACGGGCAACTGGCAGATTGGATGATGGAGCTCCAGCGGTACGTTCGCCAAGGGCGACTACTCACATCCGCCGAGCTGGCCAGGGTGGACCAACTGTCGGAACTGGAAGAGAGCAGTGATTCGGTGGAATCGTTGCACGAACGTGCCGCTCTGGAAGCGGCACGAGAAGTTCCATAATCTATTCGACTGGGGCACGCAGGGGAAGTTCAAGGATATTGAAGAACAGAACCTGGAGAGTAACAGGTGCTCAGAACTCATGTTGTCCCGGTTCGATCGAGAGACAGGAGAACGCGATGGTGACGACCTGGGGGGAATCGGACGCTGGGCACTTTTCGAGAGCAGCCGAGATGCGAAGGAAGGAGTCTTTGTAGACCTTCGTGGATCGCCGGGAGCGCCAATGTCGCGCGGCCGAATATCGGACACATTCAAGGGTTTCATGATGGAAGAAAGAGCTGCGTTGTCTGGCTTGGGCACGCAGAACCTCAGGACCTTGACGAGAGGAGATCTTCTTTTCAAGAACGTGCGCTGGGCGCTCCGGCAGTTTGACTATTCTAAATCTAAGAGGTTGCTACCAGGACGCACGGGAACTCGCGCAGTTTTCCCTGCCGGAGGCCCACCGGAGGTCGACGGCAACCCAGAGATTTCCCATTCCTTCCCTCTCTCCCAGACCTCGGGCCCGGGTCCGACAGAGCGAGGGCCGGACGACGAAGATGGCCAGGAGGAAGGCGACGGCGAGTCGGAGGAGTTCACGGCCAACGACGTCGCACTGACGCTGGCTGAGCTCGAGGAGCTGAGCTCAGACGAGGAGGGGGTGGAGACGTACCTGGCGGGCGTCGCACGCCGCGCGTGGAAGGAGAGCGAGGGCCTGAAGCGAGCAGCGAAGAGAGATAGAGTTCTACGGGAGTGGTCGCGACCGCGCAGCTGGTTCACGAGACCGACGACCGCCGCCCGCCGCCGGAACAGCCCGCGCGGCAGGGCGCGGGCGGGGGCGAGGACGTGGGCCACCCCGTAAAGGGAAGCTTGCTGGACTGCAGCTGGATGGGGGCGACTAAGGTCACCTGGCGAAGGATCTGCGACGAGAAAGGACATTGGCCCCGAGAATGCCGCATGAACCTCGGCGCCAAGAACGCGAACAAACAGCTGGCATCCTATTCATTCTCCCACGGGTGCGCCAATGCACCCTCGACGGACCTGATCTTTGCGTTGAAGGGCGTTCGAGAGAGTCTCAATGGAGTGCGCGTGACCTCGCCTCCAGCGCAGGGCCCGGTTGGCCCCGGAGCTGGGCGCGACCCAGCGGGGCTACCTGCGTCGCATCGGGGGGCGGCGGCGCCGGCGAACACTGGTTTCATCACCTGCGCGCCGATTCCGCCGACGGAGAAGAAGCCGCGCCCAGCCCGTGGAGTCGGCGGAGCAGCTGCGACCATCGCGACGATCTTGTTCACCATGACCTTGGGCGGAGTTCTCGGAGTGATAGAGACCGCGGTCCTGGAGGAGGATGTGCCCCGCGTCGTCGGCGTGGACCTCCTGGACTTTCTAGGGCGCGTGATCGACCTCCCTCGCAACGAGATGAAGTCGGACTTCCCCAAGACGGAGCTGGAACTAAACAAGCTGGCGTCGGGGCATCGCGCGGCGGACATCGCGGCGCCGCTGATAGGGCGGGCCCGCGCGCCAGGCAGCGCGCCGGCGGCCTACCCTTTCTCGTCGGCCGGCTCGCTCTGCTTTGCCGCGGGGGAGTGCCCGCCAACGGTGGCCGAGGGCGGCTCGGTCCAGACTGTGCTGACGTACATCTTCATCTTCATCTTCATCTGCGCCCTCGTCGCGACGTTCCCCGGGGGGCCTCGGGAGGCTCTCGGGTTTCGGGGTCGGGGCCGCCCGGGGGGCCATCGAGGCCCAGACCCCCCGGGGCCCCATGGGCCACGGTCCCAGGACGTCCGGGAAAAGCGGCAATATGCACCACAAGGGGCCAAGCAAGGAAGAAAGCGAGAGCCCGGCCCAGGAGGGGAGGGGCGAGCTGCCGCGAGTTTAGCGCGCAACGGTTCGAGTCGATCGGGGCCCCAGGAGGTCGGGGAGACGGCTCCGCTGCCGGGCCCGAAAGCGATCGCCGACCTCGGGGGATATCGATCGGGAACGGCGAAATTCAAGGGCCCGGGGCCCCGAAAAAGAAACGCGGAAACGTCGCCCGTGTCCGCGAGCATCTCGGCTCGAACCTCCTGGGCGGCCTTTCGCAGCGCGCGCTCAACCGAGAGCCTCGTATCAGGGGGAGTTACTGGTCGCGCGGATTTTCGCCAGTATCTTCTGGGCGCAGGCTCCTCTGTGCATCGCAGTTTCGCCCATAAGGGGGATCCTCGAGTTCCGGGCGGGCCGAGTCCGAGGGGGGGGCCCGAGGAGGCGGCGAACCCCGCCGCTCGAGCCGCCGCCGACGACAGCGCCGCGCTCGGGCGAACCTCCTTCATGTGGGACCCCGAGGTCGATTTCTCCGACGCCCGAGGCCCCTCCACCGATGCCCCCCGGGACTGGAAGGCAGGGCGCGCCCGGTCAGCGCCCTCCTAGGGGGGCCGTGGAGGCGAGTTCCCGAGTGGAGTCCCAGGAGGAGTTTCTGAATTTCTGCCCGCGCCAGAATATTCGACGCCACGGCGACCAGCGCGGGAGAGGGGCCGCGCGCAAGGACTGCGGGGTAAAGATCGCCTGGGTCAGTGGGGTTCAGCCACCCGATCTTGGAGATCCGCTTCTACCAGCCCCGACTGCCGCCGCCGCCCGGAGGGCGGCCGAGCGCGCGGGGAGGGCCGTCGAGCTCCTCGAAGCTCAGGGACCCATCGCTGGGGGCGCGACGCTTCAGGTGGTGCTGCCGACGGCGATCGCCCATCAGCTGCAGGATCGCTCATCATCAGAGGATGCGCAAGTCGCTCGAGCGGATGTACGAGCAGGTCGCGGCGCCCAGGGCCCATCCGGACCAGACCGCCGAGGCCTGCCGGCAGATCCTCCAGGGGCTCGCGCGCATCCGCCGGATGCTGGGCCCATGGAGATACCTAGGAGATACATTGGACCGTCAGAACCAGACCCTGAAAACGCTCACGGGCCAGGTAGCGAACGTTGTGGAGACCTCCATGGGCCACTTGGGACATCTGGCGTTGCAGATGGGACTCCAGGTGTCGGGGAAATACCTGCTCAACGCGGGGGCGTTCTCTCAGGCCGAGGGGTCATCGGCCTCGGGGGGCGGGCCCAACAGACAAGCTGGGGAGTCGCGCCAGGCGGGCGGCCTCCTCTGGACAAGTGCGAGCCGAGTCAGGGACCTGACGAGGTGCGAGGGCCGATCTGATCCTGATCCACATTCCTTCATATGCAGTGTGTTCACGCCCGCCCCTTCAGCCAAAAGCAAAACCGGCGCCCCCGATGCGCCTTGCCTTCTGGAGTCGTCGGGTTCCCCAGACCTCCTCGAGTCGTGTTTTTTTTCTTCATGACGCTCGTTTTGCGTGCTTTTTTTAGGATTATCTTGATGTTTCGTCTCATGTTTCACTGTCTTGATTTTTTTCTCACTGATGGCGCCTTGACAACCCTTGACAGCCCTTGATAATCCTTGACGCGCCATGACAACCCCTGAGAACCATTTGATGATGGCCCTCCTGTCGGCAGCGCTTCTGACAAGCCTTGACAGCGCTTAAGCTAGCACGCGTCCTCGGCGCCGCGGCGCGCGCGCTGGTGGCGTGGTGGCCGAGCGGATTTGGATGATCCGACCGCGCGCGCGTAAGAGATCTGTACTGTCTACAATCGAAATGTCGCCATGCTGGCTCGGAAACTAAAGTGA